CTTTTCATCTAAGTAAGTTTTGAGGTCGTCATCTGCACAATTATTCCTCGATTAGACATAATTGTCTTAGTTTGTCGAAACTATTGCTAATATGCATAGAATTATCCCATCGATTAAAATAAACCTATTTTTCGTGGGCAAATTCCATATAAGTTTGATTATCTTGTTTGCGATAACCTCTAAACTTTTGGCGATAAGTCTTTGGTACTACCTCGTATGCTTTGAGAATGGCTGGTTTAACCTTATCATAATTCGTACAATCTTCTAGAGAGAGAGGGGCACTTTGTAATAATAATGACCATCTTTCGGTAGGCCACTCTTTGGTTTGGGCAACCTTCTCAGAATGTTGGAAATATCTACCAACTTCATTTTCATTAAACGATGGTACTTTAACATATCGATTAAGTTCCAAGTTGTCATTTTGCCTTGGTCGATCGGAGTTGAGTCAAATTTCCATTTCTTTCAGCCTAATTTCTTTTTCGGCTTCAATACAAGCTTTTTTCGGCCGCGAGACGTTTATCTTCTGTTTCAGCTTTGATACGAGCTTGTTCTTTCTCGGCTTTGATTGGAGCTTGTTCTTTCTCGGCTTCGATTGGAGCTTGTTCTTTCTCAGCTTCGATACGAGCTTCTTCAAGCTCAATTTGTTTGTGTTTTAGCAGTATCTCTAATTTATCTTTAACACTCAACCACGATTGACTAGTAGAGACACTAGAGTATTTATCTAATGCTTCCTCAGGCAACAAATCATCATCGACTAGTATTTCGATAATACGCTTTTTTATCTTATTTTTTTCATTGATCTTTTAACTTCTAGTTAAAACTTTGTCAATTTCGAGTAATTTATTTTTGTTATATCTTTCTGGTTGTTCGAGGGAGGGTGATTCAAGAAAATTTTGATAATCAGACATGATCAAATCTTGTTGGCGCTGATAGATATAAATTGAATTATGATTTAAATTTTTATTTAGATAAAATTTTATCTCTGATCCACATCTCGGACAAAAGCCCCCAATTTATTATGTTACATATTAGAATTTCAAATAGTCTGAAATTGAGTTATATTGTAATTTAGATTCTGATTTGTTTACTATATAGAGTAACACTTTTGCAAATTTGAAATCCTTATAAACTTGACGGAAAATTATACAATACTGTTGGACAAAAATGAAGTTGGAAATACAATAGAGAATTATTTTGGATAAAGTATAGTTTGTGAAATTGTTTCAAAAAACGTATTACAATGAATAAAAATAATCTAACTTTGTAAAAAAAATATTTATTTTTCAAGGGCTATAAACCACATTATCCTATTTACTAAGAAGGAAATACGTGAAAATAATCACCTGTAGGTCCAGGACTGGATAGTACATCATTAATACATCTTTCAAACTCCTGAGCAGATTCAGACATCGCATATGGTGAAGTTTTGATGTCATCCATCTCATGCAAAAGGTTTTCTAATATCTTTTTATGATTTGCCTTTAAAATTAACAAGCCATTTTTGACTACAAACATTCTTAATTACTAAACTATTATCTAATGCACACGTAAAATATTGAAAATGTTTTTATATTCGTAATTTGTAAAAATACTCGAAATAACATATTCTTAAAACATTCTACATAATATTTGAAACTCTATACAGCGTAAACATATGATATCGATGTCTATCTTATAAACAGTGACAGGCGTTTAAAACTACACACAGTCATCACATACTGAAGAAATAGTACATCTCTCATCTTTACCAGATAATTATCCAACATGCAGGGTGTAACCAGATTTCATGCAACAAAATATCACAAACATTTTTTATCTTCCTGTGTTTTATATTTTAAAATAACTCGTTTTCAGAAATGTGTTCGCTTATTTCAAAATATATAATTATACAGATATCATTTAAATGATAAATATGCCACATATATTGTGCTCTCACGTCTTTTAAGTCTTAAGGTAACCTTTTTAATATGGTTACATACAATTGCAATTTCACACTAAAAAAATAAATATCGTGATACTGACATCTCAGCTTCATACCTCAAAATAATATATTACTTAAACTAGATTTTTAATCATTTGTAACCTATTATATAAGAAGTTTTTAAGTACAATTACGACATCGTTTTCCTATTTTTGATTTTCTGCTTCTGTAGATTAGAAATTTTGTATTTTCTCAGGGTTGGAAAATGCTAAATAAATGCTATGGTTTTATTAGAAGCAATATTCTTAGCAAATTTGATTCTTTATGTTTGTATAATTTATCGTTGAGAAACTGCTTTGTTTGTAAGAAAAGCTATTTTTTAATTATGGTTATAGCTACAGTGACACGGTAATGAAAACCAGCTATCATACTCTAAACTGAAAGTAATGCTTAGGGAATTACAGCACTGACAATTTATGTAACTGTTTAATATCTCACGGACCTTTTCATGTAAATGAGCGTTTACAAATCTTCTAAAAACTCGAATCAATATTAAATAAAACATGATGAATTATGAATACTCGTGAACTGAATGTGAAATAATAATAATAACAATGCAATTTTTAATTTGGTTATGATTTGAAAATAAATAAGACCTGTAGCTTTAGTGTAATTTATGGCGTTGATCTGTAAACAGATGTGGAAAAGTTGTATATGATAAGGAATATTTTACTAAAAAACTGGTAGTACAACTTCGAAAAACAACTAGTTGAAACACAATTATTTCCATTGATGCTTGTTACATATTCAATAATCATACAGACATTACTACTGTTATATCATAACTATAGCGGCACACACACTCACAAAGTGTACACTGTACTTATCTAATACATTAATTATACCTTTAGATATCTACATACTTTGCGATTCATCACAATGTTTTAGAATACAGCTGTAGATAAGTTCAATCTTGTCAGATAAACTTCTTTCACATAAAAAAAGCGAAAGTAACAGCAGATAACATAGGACACAGTTTCACTGTACAGTAACACATAGTTTAATATCAGTTTTGTTTTCAAATACCAGTAGATAACACCAAACACATAATTATTCTGCAGTAACACTTAGTGTGATATTACTGCCGACAGACGATATATTTTGTCTTCAAAAGACTGCAGATAACACAAGGATAGATTATCACTGTGTAGTAGCATAGTGTCTGATATCAGCACGTTTAGATGAACCATTTTGTTTTCAAGCATCTTTGTTTTCTCTTAGTAACACGTACTCCTTTTCATGTCAGTTTCATTGAATTCAACAATTCTTCATCACATACCTACTGGCAATTTTGAACTGATGGACTAGAGGGAAGACAGCTAGTCAACTCTTTGGTTACATTATTCTGGCCGCACAGTGGGATTTGTCCGTCAATATTATATTATTTTGCGATAACAGAACGTGAAGGTCTGGCATACTAATCAATGGCTAGACTCGGTGAAATAGTAAAATGGGCTATGACTTCATTTTACGTTAAAGTGAGATCTATTAGAAACTGAAAAGCATACGAATCAAATATATGTATCAAGCTAGATTATTCTTCTGTTTATATGAAAAAACATAAGTTTCACAAATCAGTATTTGTAACATTTAGTGTGATTTTCATGAATAATTTGAGTGACATTTAACTTGATTTTTCATCTTCTTTTTCTTTTTGTTAAGTAATCATGTAGTAAACAAAGATACGAATGGCACTGAATACTTCAACGACACTTCGATTAATTGTGACTTGTGTAAATATTTTTTATTGTAAAGGTATTTATCAAGTATATTTTTTGAGATGCTACAATTGATGTCATTGGTAAAAAGTAATTAAGTCAATTTATGAAGGAAAAAGTCAGAAAACATTTCTAAATATAGTAATCGTTTTATAAAAATCTATCTGTTTTTACCTCTAAAACTATAACATGCTCACTATTATAGACACAGAGCCTTCGAAATGTGATGTAAAGCCAACCTCTAAATCAAACAACTGCTATAACTAGTCAGTGGTGCAAAACCAGAATATTAGGAAGGGGGGTAGCCCTAAAGATCCAAGAAAGGTCATGAGCCTTGGGACGGGATTAAGGGGAAAAGCTTCTACAAAATCAGTCAGAAGCCTGGAATCTTTTTAGTGATGAAAACGTGGTGTTTTTCGCATATTTTGTTATAGGAATGTTAACACAATATTTTGCAGTTTTTTAAATAAAATTTATAACCAGGCCATAAATGTGTAGACGGGGTTGGGGCGCAGTGGGCGGCCTTGTCAAAGTCCTCATGTGCTGATACTAAAGCAGTGATTTACTGTCAATGTAACTTACTGGTAATATTTAGTTAAATTAGGGAACACACAAAATAATAATGCAATATGATGAATTTATTCTTTATGTAAGAATTATATACGGTGTTTTGAAGAAGGCCAGAAAAAATAAGTTTCATGACACTTTAAACATGTATTTTAAAACAAAGCCTTTTCCAAAGATATATTTCTTCATGATGAACAAACAAGATGTATTTAATATATATATTTATGTTTTCCAAGAAAATTTACATCTGTTCGAGACTTAATAAAATGTTCTAACATATGTAAAAATGTAATTTAGTTTGAAAGGTTGCAAAGTTAAACTTATCACGAAAATCCATAATTTTTTTATTTTGCTGAAAATAAAAAAAATGGGCTTTAAATTTCCACAATATACTTATAAACTAAAGAATATCAGTTATCTTCAATATCAATGAGCTATGTTTAGCTTGGCCAGAATGAAAGTTTGTTTTAAACTACAAAAGCAGCATGAAGTATATTGTCGAAAGAATAGGTCAAATAATTTCAGACACAAGATAACAACAATGAATCTTTTCCTCCTGCAGGGTTTTTTGACAAAATCGAAAACATTTTATTTCATGAAACCTTCTTCAAGCTTGGTTGATTCTGTCGACAGCTGTATTACAACATATGAAGCAAAGACACGAGAAGATGGTAATATTATAGACCTCTGAATTGAGGCCTCCCACGGGACTACAGGATTTGTTGGCAATATCACGTAACAAGACACAATGAGCTGTCAACTAGAGGATCTCATCAATTTGTGGCTTCGCAAGGTTGACAAACCACTCCAGTTACCCATCTTTTAAATGTTACATAGCAACTGATTGATAATCCTTGTGTTGTATAAAACGTAGGTTTTCTTTTTCACCAGCTTTCTTTAATTAAATCAAATTTGTTCTCTCGAAATGTGTAATTTTATTTACCTTGCAGTATACTAAGGGAAAGTTTGTATAAAGAACTTCAACAACATATAGATTATTATTTCATTCTAAAGCTACAGATTTTAACCAGACATAAGTAAATGGAGCTAGGATGTGAAAGAGACCAATTTCTATTCTCTATGTATGCTTTATATAGATATTTGTTTTAAAGCTAATAAAAAGGAGTGTCAAATAAGTTTCTTGTTGAGAGAAAGAAAAATACTAAACTAATTTACAATGATGTTAAGAATGTTTTATAAAACAAATGCAACTTTCGACTTTTATTATGCCAAAAAAACGTCGTTTTATTTATTTATTACTTTAATATACAAAAGCACAATGTGCTTGAAAATAGATTATGAAACTTTCCTTCAAATCTATAGTACATTCTTCAACACAATCGACCTTGACTTGAGCATGAATCTTGTGCACATTGAGCAAGATCTAGTTACTTCCGCCACCGAAGGTGGACGGAGATTATGTTTTCATCCCTGTGTATGTGTGTGTGCTTGTTTGTGTGTTTGTCAGCAAGATTTCTCGAAAACGGCTGAATGGATATGGACGAAAGTTGCTATAAATTTGAACTATAATCCAACTTATAAGTAATTATTTTTTGAGGGTCAAGGTCACGAAAAAACTATCTGTTAACATGGGTGCCGATTTTCATACTATTTTTGCTTTATAAATCAGTCAACTAGAAGGGCACTGAGTAGAGCGCATAACTCCGCCACGCAGCGTAGATCATATTCGGCCCTCAAAAAATATGAAAGTGTGTCCAGTCCTTATGTCTGTCGTTATCAACGGACACGAGGAATAATATTCTACACATGTCCACAAAGTTTTATAGAAATACGAACATTTTTCAATTTGTGATCTTATGTGGAATATTATTCCTCATTGCCCTGCCAAAAGTGGTTCGTGTCCGTTGATAATGACGGACATACGGACACATTTTCGTATTTCTTGAGAGCCGAATATGATTAATGCTGCATAGCGGAGTTATGCGCTCTACTGAGTGCCCCTCTAGTATTGAAAATGTAAGTATGGGTTTTTCTTTTCAATATTCTTTTTTTACAAAATAACCATAACAACACCAACAAAACAAAAACTAAAATATTTACTACGAATATTATCACAAAACAACTTTTTCTGGCACAAAACACAATAAAGTGCAATTCTGAATTAGTCTGTTATGTTTGGAGTTAATTTACTAAGTTTAAATCTGTTAAACATTAAAAAAGAAAGTAGAAAGAATCGGACTTTAGACATTTCTGATCTTCTGATACAATAACACTGTAATAGTACACAAATGTTGTTCTTCAAGTTTGAATTTATTAAACTTGTAACACAGTACATTAATAACAATACACTATAAAACTAAACACTTCGTAAACTAAACACTTAAGTAACATTTTCGATTGTGCTATTTGTAAATGGCAATTTTATTAATATTCAAACTATATGAAGTGAAAAGGTTTGTTCTAAATTTTTATTATTTTCTTAGATAAATAGGAAAAGAATCTTAAAATATTTTATTAGAAAAACTCGGCTTTTTTGAGCCTGACTAATTAGTATTAGAATATCAAAGACAAGAAATACAAACATAAAACATTAGGCTGTCTTTTTCTTTGACAGTACTTCCATTTTTAATTTTAGACTTGACCAGTACCTTTGTATGAGGGTAAATATGAAATTACCTAAATTTTATCACGCTTTGTAGGTTTAGTCTACAGGTAACTAAACATTTCTAGAACTCATTCATTCAACATTACGTTATAAAGAACTGAAATTTATCATACGTTATGCGGCTAATAATAATTTAAACTTTAACATGACATTGCTAATATCTTTATCAAGAGATCAATTTCGTTAAGACATCAAAGGTAATTATTATAAGTTGTAACTACCGAAGTAAGGACTAGATTTGTTTTTAGCGTTCATAAAGAAGAAAATTATGAAACACTAATTGATTACCAGAAACAGCAGAGTAAACTTAACATGAAATAATTAATCAACGGAACAGGAATGACTAACTGTATATATTTGCAGTGAAACTATTAGGTTTTAGTTTATTGCAGTTAATATTTGCAAAAACAAAAAAAAAGTCATCAGTTGTATTTGTGTGCCCAGCAGAGAAGACGACATCAGTTTATGAAAAGAACCAGATTTCAATACTTACGGATATTTTCTTCAGCTGACATCGTAAATATTCCCCGTCTTCTTCGCCATCTATCCCACTTATAGCCCACTTTCCTCCAGTATGGCATGTTCTTGTGACGAAATCTGGAGGACAAAGATGGCATTGAAATAGCATAAGAGAATACTGAATGTAGCGATCAAGGTAATATTTAAATTTGTGTACATTTCTCGAACATATTTGTTGTAATATGTCAAGACTTAGCTGGGTACTTCTGTTTTCACATTTGGTAGTAGGCGATAGCAATTAACATTTTCAGTCTTAAAGATCAAACGTACTGATTTAGGTCCAGACTTTGTTGAAGTAGTTTAATGTATAAAGGATTCTTGATCCGGATTTTCCTCATCCGAACTACATTCCATTATCTTAAAGTGTTGGTGGTCTACTGGTGTTCCATATATCCGAACAAGTAGTTAGACAGGAGACGTTGTTTCCTCCGTTGCAGTTGTGCGTTTTTAATTCGTGTTTCAAAAGTTCTAACTGTTGAACTAATACAATATGTAAATAATATGTGATCGTTTTTGTACAGCAATTTTGTCCTTAGCTATGAAATAAAATTCATTTACTTATTACACTGTTTACAACTTTCAACGTAAAGCCTTTCTTCAGTAATACCGTTTTCATTTTTATTAGTTCATTTTGATAATACATAAAATTACTATATAGTTGAAAGCCCTTTGAATTAAAATGAACACTAAGTGCTTTAAAATTATTTGGAATAAAGTGTTCAAGATTAAATGTAAATCAGTAAAATATTTTTTTGTGATAACTGTCAACTTCAAACCATTTATCGTTGTTTCTAATCTTAATGCCTTAAGAAGGGGATTTTGAATTCATTTGCTCTTCTACTGTGGATTTAATAAGTTCATGTTGTTGGGTGAGATAATAAAAAAATAATTTAACAGGGGGCTGCGAAAGTATCATTAACATATTTTTTGTAAATCAGAAGTTCTTATTCATCCGGAAACAAATTAGTCAAACAGGGAGCTGATTAGCAAAACCATCAATATGGTCATAAAACTCACTGTTGAGAACTAACTTTACTATTTGATAGCAAACTCCAGTAACTTCTGAAACGTGTGCTTGGTCGATTCATTTTCATAAACAAGGCCACAAATCAATTTTATTAATTCATTAAGAGGAATGTTTGCATATAAAGATACTATAGCAAAGCTAGCACAAAAAATGATGCTATTAAGTTTGAACTCTTTACAAAATGAAGTGAATTCGAAATTGTCCTTAACAGTATCAGCGTTTTGTACAAAACCTTTGACAAATGTAACTAAAAACCTGCTAATTCGTGATTAAATATTATATACTATAGGTATGTTGGAATATCAATTTTGTGAAACTTCGGTAGTTCCTATGAATGTCAGAATGAGATTTCACGGGTGTCATTCTGTTGTAATCATGGTTATTTAAAGAATCCTTTTTTTTTATTTGAGAAGCAATTTCTGTAACTTGCGCTCTCTCCTAGCTGTGTTTAGTTTTCCTTGTGTTTACTGTGATTGCTCGAAATATTGAACTCCTTTCTAACATAATCACATTTATTCAGTAAGAGAGCAACATTAGCTTTATCAGGATTATTAATGCTTATCCTTCGCCCTTAGACATTTTATGGGTTTTTAGGTTTCTAATGCACTCTTGGAAATAATCCAAGGTACTACCAGATTGGATTATAATAAAAAAAATTAATCTTGTCCCATAATGTTAAAACATAGCATTATATATGAGAAAGAAAACTGCCATTATTTGCAGGACGTGGGCGTTACCCACGTGGCAGATGGTCAGTCTCACTACAAAACAAGGGATGTTGTACCACTGGGTCATACCACCCTGTTTTGCCTATACGAAACATTATAAATGTGGATCGCGAGACTCTTGGATTTTAACAATTCGACATGCTGTAATGGCTTCTTGCAAGTTGTCAAAGAGAAACACTAATTACAGTTACAATAAATACATAATACCATTAAAAAAATAGTTATTTGTATAGTTTGCATAACAATATTTGTATTGCAAATGGAGCTTTTTAATCCTATTACAGAACACGCGATGATGGTGATTAGCTAACAAACAAGGTCCATCATTGCAGCAGGGCATACCCGTTACTCATGTGGTCAATCAAAAGTAGAGCAAGAACCATTCTAAACAATATAAAGCTCCATCCAGTAATTAAGTAACAATAATGACTCCGTACATACTTTTGATAACCATAATAACGAAACCAATCACCATCACAAAATCAGCTAATATACATGAAAAAGAGAGCCTTTTGTAGTATGTTTTTAATTCTATGTTAAATCTATTTTATAATGGAACACAATATTTTTAATTTAAAGTCAGTTTCATTTATAATAATATTCTGAATATTTTATTATTGTTGTTAATGCCTACAATTATAAAGATTATTTTGCAAATTTAGCTTACTATAGGAACTTAGCACTAACCTACAAGCTGACCGAATACCGCGAGAATTTATTGCGGTAATAAATGAATGTGTTGTTGATAGCAAAAGTATCCAACTGACGTAAATAAATGTGTTGTTGATAGCAAAAGTATCCAACTGACGTAAATAAATGTGTTGTTGATAGCAAAAGTATCCAACTGACGAATCAGTGCATTCTGACTAATATAGTTTTAATTTTATTGTGAATTGATTTATGATATTTTGTACTTCTTTTCAGTTGTATATATAAAATAGCTTCATATACTTGTGCTTGTTGTTGTAGTTCAAAGTTACACAATGAGCTCTATGCGCTTTGTCTACCGCAGGAATTGAATCCCGGATTTTAGTCCGTAAACTTGTCGCTGGCTCCCTGAGGGAGTTATTAATTTATTTCAGCTCTATAATACAATTAGGTTATTTTCCTATTAAGTTATTATTAATGCATTATATAATGATTACCATTCCAGATCTCACGAACAACAAGTACATCACTGTAACTACACCTACACTTTTGGTGTAAGCATTGACAATTTACTTTTTCTTTACCAGTAACTTAATACACCATATATATTTTTCATGCTAACATGGTTATCAATAAAAAAGTAGATAATGTTTATTCTGAGAACAGATATGAGGTATTGTTCTTCATAAAGAGGTTGGTTACGGTAAGAGACATTATTATTTCTTAAAAATTGATAGGTCATAAAGTTTTTTTAATGTATTACAATAATGTTTTCATACGTACAGATTTTGAGAATTCATTTCAGGTAATGCTTCTCATCGTTTTAACATGTGGTGTTTTAACATTTTAGACAAAGCTTATTCTTAAGTCAAATATAATGTCAACGGCGAGAGTACCAAACATTTATAAGGTAGTACGCTTTAATTTTTGTAACATTTATAGTAATTTTTTTTTGGTATTGACAATATAACTTCAAAAGTAGAAAAACTAATGGATTTCTTTTAAATTATCTCAAACAATGTTTTATGATCATGACCAGCAACTCAAGATTTACCTCAGATATTTTAATTCATAAACACAAATATATAATTTTAATTTAATTTAATTTTTTCAATCTTTTAAATTCTATACAGAGCATTTATCATTTGGGTGTTAAGAATGCGTTGCCCGAAATTATTTTTGGGTAAATCACCTATTAAACATGTGTACACTATTTTTACAGAATGAAATAATTTCCAGTTAATGTATTAATAGAATTAGTAACATAAATACAAATTATAAAAGTATGATGTAACAGAAAATAGAATTATTTTGGTTATTTTCATATTATATGCGTTGTTTCAGGACGTTGGGGTCGTTAATTATGTTCCACGAATGTTACTTAGGTGACTAATTTGGTTCATGTATAACTCACCTTTTTGTTAAACCGTTATGGTAAGATTTCTTTAAGGAGCATAATGTCACCGGTATTTTGAAAACGTTTTGGCTTGAAAATATCTATATTTCATAGTTCCAATAAGGAAGAAAAAGCAATCAGAAGATTATTAAAAAGCAATTTACTTTAACTGTTCAACGTAACACCTTCGGTGATAGACGTAACATGAGAGTTTATTGACTTGTATAAAATTTTCATTCGGTTTATTGTTTATTTGTTTTTAATTTCGTGCAAAGCTACACGAGGGATATCTGCGCTAGCCGTCCCTAATTGAGCAATGTAAGACTAGAGGGAAGGCAGCTAGTCATCACCACCCACCGCCAACTCTTGGGCTACTCTTTTACTAACGAATAGTGGGAATGACCGTCACATTATAACGCCCCCGCGGCTGAAAGGGCGAGCATGTTTGGTGTGATGGGGATTCTAGCCCACGAACCACAGATTGCGAGTCGAGCGCCCTAACCACCTGGCCATGCCGGGCCTATTCGGTTTATTTTGTGGCTAACTGATTTTATTATATCTAGGACCACACTAGGAAGGATCATTTGGTCATGGGACATTATCACTCATTGTTCATTTGAAGAGATCAAGCAGCAAGTTTAATATCCAAAATTAGTAAAAATCCTGAATAATTTAAGCTATACAGAATGCACTTTTGTAGGATATACATGAAGAAGATGCCAGATAAGTATTTTCCATTGAGTTTAGTCCTTTATTCTTTAGTGTTTTGATATTTTAATAATGTTATAATATGATATATCAGCTCCATACGTAAATATTAATTATAATATATCCAATGAGAATATTATTGTTTCAATATTTGTTTTTTTTTATTTTACTGCCTTACACAACAGTGAAAAAGCTTTAATTAGAACTACAATGTGACATGAAAGGAATTATTAAGCGCTTGACAAATAAACAGCCTGGATTAGCTTCTATTGAAAAAACTAAATCATTGTTAATCTCATTATTAGATATAAAGAACCTATTTTAGGCATTTTTTACATTTTGTAAAAATTCCATTGTATTATACGGAAATTTTGCACGTTTCAATTCTTATATATCAGCTAGATTTAGCCATTTACTTTGCTAGACAATTTGTTAAACGTTAAGTTGAATTTATTGTGGTAAACAATTAGTGTAGACAAGTAATCGTTCACTTATTTTTTCAAAATAATTATAATATATGATTTACTGTTTAAAGAAGTTTTGTTCTTATGTTAGTTATGCTATTACATGA